ACTTTAAGGGCATTTAAATGGTCATTGGATAAACATATGGATGATAATGGAATAGTTTAGGTTAGATGGGCTTCAGATTGGTTTCACAGGTCAGCGCAACATCGAGGGCCGGAGGGCCTGTACTGCGCTGTAATGTTCTATGTTCTATGTTCCACATGGTAATGGATGCAAGTTTGGAGGGCATGTTAAAGAAATCTTTGTGAGTTTCTGCAGTGTATCCTTTATTTAGATGGTATATTCTGCTGCTACATTGGCTAGTGACCATAGTGTGAATATGAGAGGTACAGGATAGTCTTTCTGTCAGGTGGCGGTTTTGTCTTGAATAGTGTTGAGATTTTTTGAGTGTGTTGGAGATGTGTTCATCTGGACAAGTGGGGAGTGTTCCATCACACTCCTGACTTGTTCTTTCTAGGTGATGAGATCCATAACTTCAGAAGTAAAATTCGCTTTTAAGTGGCAGAAAGTAAAACGAAGATCATCATCAATGTTCCCTCGATTTTTCTTTCTGTGTCCTATGTGCAGATTTCATTATGTGCAGTGATATTAAGGTAATGTGCACATTTGTACCACCAATCAAAATTTAAAAGAAATATATAACATAGTTTTAGAAGGGTATGGAAGATGAAGAAGCAATATCAATGTAGCCATTGATATAGTAACATATTAGTTCAAAAATTTCCAGGTTTCAATTTTAAATTTAGTGTGGTGATGTTTGAACTTCAGAACTCCTTGTTTTAAACTTAGTACTATACATCAGAAAGGCATTGGTTAGTTAATGACCTGTGTCTTTAATATGTCAAATGTCATTGGGATCAAGCTTCTTTTGTTCTACAAAACGAGCTGCAACAGAATAATTAGATCACTGATATTAACTGGACCAAATTCCCCTTAATCTCAATATTTTCACAAGTCTCAAAAAAAATTAAGTTTTAATAACTTGGTAATGCTTTCTCCTTGCCTCCTGCTCAAAACTTACCTTTCACTTGCCACTTGACCTTACTACTTGCCTCATCCATCCACTGGTTCCCTCTCACTTACCCCCTCCCTCTGACCCTGTGCTTCCCTCCCCTGTTCACAATCTCCCTCCCCCTTGTCATTGTCCTGTCCCACCTGTCCTGTCTGCCTTTTCCTCCCACTAGCTGACCCTGCTACCTCTCATTTGCTCACTCCAACTTCCCACCGGTTGCACCTCCCTCTCGCAACATTCCTCTCTATCGCAACCACACTGCTGCTGCACAAGGTAACAGAACCAGGGCCAGAAATCAAGAGTTGAAATTGAAATCAGTCCAACGAATGACCTGGGCCGGAGCTGAAATCTTCAGGAGGGTCTCCTCTTGCTATTTGTTTCAGGGCCCAGCAGATGCGCATTAGTCAGGAACTGACACAGTAAGTTTTTGCTGTTGATTTCACCTAATCACGTTTGGCTCTTATCCACTAAAGTCTTTTGTGGTGCAATCCACCAGTTCTTTGCAAATGGTACTTTATAATAACCATCATATAACCATTTGGATGTGTGCATCCATAATAGTCAGACGAAGCAGCAGCTTGGAGGGGACATTGCATCTGCACATAATCATGAATTGAATGCAGTGCAGTTGACTCCTTTCCCAGTGGCAGTGACAATGAAGCACATGCACCAGGCTTTTCCTTTGTTCACCAGAGTGTTGGCTTCTGGGTAGGTGAGGTGCTGGCCAAGGCCACCTAACAGTTAATGATGCAAGAGGAAGGCTCTGAGGGTCTAGGCCCGAAACGTCAGCCTTCCTGCTCCTCTGATGCTGCTTGGCCTGCTGTGTTCATCCAGCTCTACACCTTGTTATCTTAGTTAATGATGCAAGCCCAGTTAATGCAACTGTTTAATTAAAAAATATCAGTCACTATCTTGATGGAGACTCGATAGAATTTAATTTGAAGTATGAAGGAAATACTAGGAATGAGTGTGTGCAGTGGAAATATGCTTAAGGCAGTGGATGGCAAAGAGACCTATGGATTAAGGTACATAATTGTCATAAGTAAGAGAGTAGGTAGCTAAAATCTTAATAAAGAATCGGTAGTTTTTGTTTGGATGTTATAAGTGGAATACGCAGTACCCTGGCAAAGGCAAATTGTTTAACCCAACAACTTAGTCACAGTTGAACTATAGTGTATTAATCAAGAGCCTCATTGCATGAAGCATTTTAAATCCATGAAACAGATGTAGTGATGATTCACTGGGATGATGGAATTTTATTGGTACAAGGTGCAGGGACTATTTCTAGTAGAACAATAAAGGTTATAGACTATCTAATAGATTTCTTAAAAAGAAATTGAAACGTTCTGGCCGGGTAGTGATTAGAGGGCCAGTTTATTTCTTCTTGAAGTGTTGGGCAACCATAAGATTGAAGAAGAGGTTTTTTATAAATTTCTTGTCACTGTTATTGGAACAGGGAATCGGTAATATTCCATATTTTTTAGGAAAGATGTGAATATTTGAAAAAAAGATATATAAGGATCGGATGATGGCTCTGAGGAAACAAAAGCGTCATAAAATTAGATTGATAAAGTTCTGGTGCTGAAATGATCAGAGGAAAGGTCTTTGATGCTGTAAACCTTTGGCATAACCGGTAGTTTTACTTGCTTTTGTGCTTTTGAGTTCAACTTTAAGTTAAATTAATTTTTGCACCTCAGTTTACAGTCCTGTAACAAATGCACAATGCTGGTGAAACTCAGCATGTCTGACAGCATCTGTGGAGTTAGCATTGCAAGTCCTCTGACTTTTCCAGAACTTCGGTTTTCAGATTTCTAGCATTTGAAACATTTTGCCTTTAATCAGTTCTATGTTGAGGTTTAACATGTTGGGAAGCTCATTCTGCATCTTTCTCATTATTTGGAAATTGCTGCATATGAAGCTTCTCTCTTTGTTTGTTTCTTTGATTGGAGGTACAGAGCCTCCTTCATGTGTTTTCTTAGTTTAATTTCTCTACTGCCTGTTTTCAAAGACATTTATGATATTACTTGTTCAAAGGTTCGTGTGCATTTGGATCTGTTAAATGACTAGGCTACTGTGTGAAGTCAGGTTTTTAAAATGATGTTCAAGTTGTTTTATCCCATTAATCAGTCGCATGATTTGTGTCTGTGTTAATGTTGAATTTGGTAACATTTTCACTTGTGAGAGGATATGATAATTTCGGCAATTGATTCTGTACGGCTCCAATTTACTCTGGCTGCTACTCTGGTCATGAAAACGTTGTGCTTGAAAGCAGAACTTGTGCCACCTTCACAATGAGCAGCATTATTTCACCTAACTGTTCGAGCAAGGTTAGAATTCAAGCTAACTGTGATGATGGGTGGGCAGGTTATAGCAGTCGAGGTGCTGAATAAGTATTTAAAGAATGGAATTTTATTGATGCATTCTTTTTGTTCCTTGGATCATCTCCTGGGAGGCTGTACGGTTTGGGTTGTGATTAATATCAAACTCAGTAGCACTGATTTATTTACAAAAAGACTGATGTTTTGGACAATGCAGTTGAAATTTTGAGAAAATGGAAGCTGTGCAGAATTTGAGCTCACTTTCTGTGAAAGTTTATTCAAAGCTAACTGGTTCAATCTAATGCATAGAGGAGGCAATGACCTAGTGGTATTATTACTGGACTGTTAATCCAGAGATCCAGGTAATGTTCTGGGGACCTGCCGCGGCAGATGGTGGAATTTGAATTCAATAAATATCTGTAATTAAGAGTCTAATAATGACCATGAATCCATTGTCAATTGTTGGAAAAACCCATCTGGCTCACTAATGTCCTTTAGGGGAGGAAACTGTCAGCCTTACCTGGCCTGACTCCAGATCCACAGCAATGTGGTTGACTCATGACTGCCCTCTGGGCAATTAGGGATGGGCAATAAATGCTGGCTTCACCCTCATCCCATGAATGAATTTTTAAAAAGCCTTAAGTCTTTTGTAGCAATTTTGTTGTGTCTGTTATAACAAATCACTGATCCTGACAATGCAGCTTATTTTAAAATATGATTGTGGTCAAAATATTTAAAACTGTCAGTTTGCTGCTTCCCTGTTACCTCTCTAGGCAGGTAAGAGAATTCCTGTTGTTCTGCCTGTGCTTATGTAAAATTGTGTTGGCTGTTTCTCTGACCTCCCATTCTTAATTTACCATGTTTTTGAGTCTCTTGCTATTGGGTGTATCTCAGATGATTTGTGTAACTGCAAAGTCCAGGACAAGGAAGTTGGAGTTTACATTGTTGGGATGGAAGGCTGAACTTAGCATGTGACTTATTTGCTGTAATGCCCTGTTTAAATCACAATTGTCTTTGTTTGTGCCACCAGGGAAACCATCAAGGAAAAGGACAAACCAGATACTGCAGGAGAGGAACCTGAAGAAAAGGAACAGTCTGCTCCACGAGGGCGGAAAACTGCAAACAGTCAGGGGAGGCGGAAAGGCAGGATCTTGAGATCCATGGCAAAAGAAGCCATCAGCGAAGAGCCACCCAACCCCCCTCCTCCACCTGAACTTGGTGAGTATACCTGCCCACAGTGAAATATTCTCTATCCAGTGAAATAGCAGCCGCAGAATTGAAAATTACAAGTTCTATGCTTCTCTCCTATTGTTAAACTAAATGTTTCACAATCTTTGACTGAAATAAAAGATCTGAACTAAAAGTACAAAACATCCAGTGAGTTAAGTTGCAAGAAAGCATGTGATCTAATTATGAAGCACTTTACTTCTCCTTGAGCAGGGATGTAACATTAGCCATTTTTCAGCCCTCTGGGACCCTCCCTGTCTTTTTTCAGTGATTCCTGAAAGATCACCACCAATGCATCTACAATCATCTTGTCAGTTATCTCCTTGAGTCTGGGAAACCTTTGCTGCACTCCCTTTATACCAAGAACATCCTTCCTCAGATAGAGAGACTGCAGAAATATTTGTTATAATGCCCTGTTTAAATCACAAGACCCTGTATAATTGCAACAAGACCTCTCAGCTCCTGTACTCAAATTCTCTTGCTGTGTACAACATAGCATTTGCCACCTTTTTTGCATTTTGCACCTGCATCCTTGCTTTCAGGACAGGTGTACTAGTACACCTGAGTCTCATTGCACATCCCTTTCTCCCAATTTATAGCTATTATATAATAATCTACCTCCCTGTTTGTGCTCCCAAGATAGATAACCTCATGTTTATCCATGTTATACTGCATTAGTCATGCATTTTCCCATTCCCATTTTCCCAAATTACACTGAAACATTTCTGCACCACCTCGCAATTCCCCTCCCACCCAATTTTGTTTTATCAGCATATTTGGCAAACTGCATAGTTCCCTAATCCAAATCATGAATACATATTGTGAATAGTTCAGTTCCACATGCTGGTCCCTGCAGTAACTCCGCTAGTCACAGCCTGCCATTCACAATAAAAACTTATTTCAACTTTCTATTTTCTTTCTGCCAACCAGTTATTTATCCATCTCAATACACTACCCCCAATCCTGTGCGCTTTAATTTTATGCTGTAATTTTTTTGTGAGATTTTGACAAAAGCCTTCTGAAAGACCAAATAACCCACATTGCTTGCCTTTGTCAACTTATTTGTCACATCATTGAAGAATTCCAGTAGATTTGTCAAGCATGATTTTCCTTTCATAAATCTGACTCTGTCCAATCCTGCCACTGTTTTCTGAGAGGTCAACTATTAAATTTTTTTATAATGGACTCTGGTGATTTCCCCAATACGAACGTAAGTCTGACTGGTCTATACTCTTCGGTTTTCTCTCAACCCTCCTTTTTAAATAGAGGGGTTACATTAGCTACCCTCTAATCTATAGAATCTTGGAAGATGACCATGTATTCATCCACCTTTTTGTAGGGCTACTTCCTGAAGTACTCTGGGCTGTATCATTATCAGGGGTTGGGGATTATCGGCTTTCAACCCTATTAATTTCCCCAACACCATTTCCCAACAAATGCTCCTCAACCACTTGAGCAAATACTCACCATAAGACATCTGTCCCAGCCCTGCCCAGGTATAACCTGTCCAGTTTATACCGGTCTAACCTGCCCCAGAACCACTCCCAAGGCCCCAAGGATCTGAAATCTACCACCCCATCGCACTCTCTCTTCAGCTGCATGTTCAACTGACATAGCCTGTTATTTCTACTCTGACTGGCACGCGGCACTGGTAGTCACCTTAAAGACCTCAAAGGTAGGAATCTTCTTTTCAACTTATTTCCTAACTCCCTATGTTCTGCTTTTAGGTTAAAAAAAAAAGGTCCCATGTTGTTTTTACCATGACTACTGGCTGTTTGCCCTCCCCCTCCGGAATGTCCTGTAGCTCCTCTGAGATTTCCCTGACCTAGTACCAGGGAGGCAACATATAATATCCTCGTTTGTGGCCGCAGAAATGGCTGTCTATTCCCCTTAAAATTGAAATCTCCATAACTATTGCATTCCCAGTCTTTTTACTCATGCCTTGTGCAGCAGAGCCAACTGCAGTGCAACGAATTTGGTTGTTGCTTTCTCTTGAGAGGCTATTCCCATCAACAGTATCCAAAGCTGTATGTCTGTTTTGTAAGGGAATAGCCAAAGGAGACCCCTGCACTGCCTGTATAGTGCTTTTAGCTCTACCTGGTGGTGGTCACCCATTCACTTCCTGTCTGTGGAGTCTTAGCCTGCAGTGTAACCAGCTCTCTTATACGTGCTATCTTTGACACTCCCCACCATGCGGATGCTTAACAGTGTCCAAGAGCTGCAGCTGAAGGCATTTCCTGCACACATGCTGGCCCCAGGCACTGGAAGTGTTCCCGGTTTCCCACATAAAGCAGGAAGAACACACTACAGTTTTGAGGTCTCCTACCATGACTTGAGCCTTTTAAATGAAACCTTCTGGAAGATACTTAAATGAATTACTCAAGGGCCTTAATCCCTAGTCCTTACTACAGAAAATGTTGCTTAACTATAACCCCACAGAAAAAAAACAAAAAGCACTTTTACCCTGAAATCATCATAAAATCCCTACAATGCGAAAGCATGCCATTTAGCATTTGACCCCTTCCCCAGTGACAGTGACCTCACCGACCCTCCCAAGAGTATCCCACCCTAGACACTATGGGTAATTTAGCATAGCCATCCACCTAACCGGAGGAAACCCACGCAGACACAGGGAGAATGTGCAAATTCCACACAGACAGTTGCCCAAGGCTGGAATCAAACCCAGGTCCCTGGCTGTCAGGCAGCAATGCTAATCACTGAGCGCCGTGCTGCCCCTTAAAGGTTGTTTCTCCATGTAGAAGTAAAGCTACTACAGAACTGCTGTACAATTAGACAGAGACAACTAGTGGTGCTTTAACCTAAGGGCCCACTGTGCTTCAGGTGAGGGGTGAGGTTCAGAAGGAGAGTCCTTCACAGTAACCATAGCCAGTGTGGGAATTGAACCCATGCTGTTGTTGTTTTACATTGTAAACGAAGGGGCCAGCCAATTGAGCTAGCTGACACCCCTCTTGTTTTTTTAATCTATCAAGCGTGTCTGCTGTTGCAGTTTTCACTTTCCAAGCCTCTACTGTTTAAAAAAAACTGATATCAAGTGTCTATTCACTAATCCTGCATGTGTCCTGTCTTGCTTATTTCTTAAATGCCTCCCCATTTTATTTTGAATTCTTTTGCTAATTGAGGTTATTGAATTTTATCATTGTCTTTTATAGTCAGTATTTTCAATGTTTCTTTTTACTAAATTGTCCTTTTAACCTCTTTTCTAAGATCCCCACAGAATTTGCTTTCTGTCACCCATCACTGCAAGTATTAAATGCACCTTTATCGATTTGCAAGGCTTTAAAAAAAATGTTTAACAGTTGGTGTTGACACTTTTGCTTACAATACTGCCCTCCCTCCTCAACATTTGTATGTAATACTGTTTTTGACAACATATTTGACAACTGTACTGATAAAGACATTTGCTTCTTCTACTGGGAGAATACATAACCTGCCCTGGGCTTCCATTGCTCATAAAGTGAACACTGATAAGCACACTCCACCTTCTGACAACAGCCTCTAACATTAAGTGTGCCCATTGTGCTCCAAATTCCTGGAAATAGACATCCATTCTGGCTATGTCTTAAGGTTGATACTTGGATCATTGTTTTTCTTGCTATACAGTAACGACCTAGATTGAGCATAGTTTCAAAATTTGCACATGATACACAACCAAGAAATATAATGAATTCTGTGTAATAAATAATCAACTTCAAGAGAACATTGGCAGGGCAGACAAATGGCAGATGAAAGTTCATGCAGTGAATTGTAAAATGATGCACTTTGGTAGAAAGAACAAAGAAATAATACAAATAAAGGGTGCAATTCTAAAGAGGGTGCAGAGGCAGAAACAACATGGGATGTTTGTACACGAATTGTTGAAATTGCAGAGCAGTCTGAGAAAGTGGTTTAAAAAAAAATATAAACTCCAGGACTTTATTTATAAAGACACAAAGTACTAATGCAAGGCGCTTTTGATGAGCATGGTTGATAAAACTCAGGAGATCACAGTGGTTCAGGCAGTTCTGAAGAAGAGTCATCTAGACTCTAAACGTTCATTTGCTTTCTCTCCATGGATGCTGCCTGACCCACTGTGAGCTCCAGCATTTTTTGTTTTCCGTACAGATTCCAGCAACTGTAGTAATTTGGTCCTTCATAGAACACTGACTTAGCCTCCTCTGAACTGGTGCCCATTTCTCAGCACCACGCTTCATGGAAGATTGAAGATAATCAAAATGATCTTAAAAAAAAAAAAAAATTATGAGGATAGATCTGTGGTTGAGGGATTTGAGCTTTGTGCTTAAATTGTAGAAGTTGTGGCAGTTCTTCTTTGAGAAGATTTAATGGAGATGATCAAAATCATGAGGGGTCTGGGCAGAATGGATAGAGATATTTTTACTGTTGACAAAAGGTTGAGAAACAGAAGTCGATTTAAGAAGATCAGCAAAAGTGACGTGAAGTGACAACAATTGGTTAGATTCTAGAATGCAGTGCCTGAGAGAGGTTGAAGGAGGATTCAATTCTACCTTTAAAAAGGAAGATGGATAAGCACCTAAAGAGTAAATATGCATGGCTGTGGAGAAAGAATGGAGAAATAGATGAGCTGAACAGCAGTTGCAGATAGCTAGCCAGTAATGACTTGCATGTCAAATGATCCTTTGTGGAGTATCAGTCTATGATAAGGAGGGGAGTTAACTCACCCAATTTATAGTAAACTGGTGACTCTAGAATCTTTAGGTTAGGTTACTTTGCTAGGGCCATGGGCATGTAGACAGAATCAAAAGATCTTAGATCAGTTTCCTCTATATCTGCGCATCATGGTCAAGAGATTAAGCTAGATTCAGGGACCGTCTCATTAGATTTGAAGGGAACAGATATAATTCTTTTATTCAAAAAGTTGGATTTTGTAAGTTACTATTAAATTATAGCAGAGTACTTAGATGAGTTCAAGCTGTCATAACGAGTCTAAGTGGTTTTGTGCAAAAGAAATCTAA